CGTCAATACCGTAGGAGTGATATTCGACAGTATCAGTAATGCTTCAAGATGGTAAAACTGCTTTGAAGCATTTGTAACATTTATTGAAGTACTACATAAACCACCACTGTTACATTCAACCGGACGCATCTTCAAATTACGATAATTTGTTGTTTCCTTTTATGACTTAGTAACTGAACAAGAAAAAAAAATTGATGATGGCTCCTGATGGCCACATATTTTTCTTATTTGTTCGTTGGATAATACGACATTGAAAAATTAAAAAAATCTTCAAACCAAATCTATTGTATCTGCTTAAAATATCCCATACATCTGAATTGAGAGATTTCCGGATTGTTCCGTCATTCGACCGTGATGAAGTGATAAGTGCGTTTATATCGAATGAAACATTATCATTTTAATTGTCCTTTGTTTACATGACTAAGTGTTGAAAGAATGTATGTCCTCACACTCGACAACTTTCAATGGGATACTGAACGTTTTCTAATTATAGATTGCTCGAAATCAGTTGATTAGAATCTGCTCACAACAATTGAGTCATGACACCGATGAATTTACAACGGGGTCAAAATAAAATCTCTATTACATCTTGCCATCATTACATATATTAGAAAAACACACTTCAATGTAGGATTTCCACTGGATCTGGTATCTGTAGAGTAGACCACCTGTGATCTATTGTACATCCTTACGAGGAGTTGTCCTCCTAGGTTATCGTCCATCCTGTCCTTTCCAGGAAGGTGGACAAGTCTCAGCGGGACATCTCCTTTATATCGGCAGGTGTAGGCCAAGACTCGCCGAACACACACTCTCTTTAGCAACCTTGAGGTGTCTCACGGTGTCCTCCGCGAAGTTTTTGGAAGGTGCAGCGATATTACTGTCGTTGCGTGACTTCTTCAACCTTCTTGGGGTTCCCTTCGTGGAGGTGCACAAGTCAGGGAGCTTTCCTGCAGGGGCAGCCGGTTCCTTGACTTTATTCAAAGCGGAGCTCTTGGCGCCAGCCGTTGGAAGTGCCCTTGCTGTTGGAGGTGATCTGCTATATCCAGCCTCATTCCAAGCGGTAGATTGGGATGGACATTTCTGTTCATCCCCAGCCACCGCCTTAGATTGAGGTGAGCACTTCTGTCTAGCCCCAAGATTGGTTTTTGTTGTTTCATTCATGTGTGTTTCCACTGGATTTCCATCCAATAAGTTCTGTCAATGACTACTGTTATGTTATGTCATGTTAGAATGGTTTGATGTTGAATTGGTTTCCGTTGATTCAAAGGACAATTTGTGTTAGGAAATTCTGGTTTTGAGATTTCCAGATGTTCCTCAAATATAAACTGCTGACACTGGATTTGTTGCCCATGTAGATACTGTAGGGGTTATCTGAGGTTGGATGAAAATATGAGCTCAAAAGTTCCGGGCCTAAGGAAGAAAACGCGCTTTCTGTTCAAAATTGGCTTCATTCATCATCCTCCTTTTCAACATAATCCCCATCAAGAGTAACACAATAATTTTAGTGCCGCTCTGATATTTCAGTCCCACTTTCATAGAAGGATTCATTCTTCGCCTCAAACTCTCCAATAACGCTATATAATATTCACTATTGATGATATTTCCCTCATCGACATAATCGATGGATATTACACCACGCACATCCCAAATTACCGAGGCCATAACCTTTTCAGCCGATTGTTGTGGTTTCGGACGACGTTCACCAGTTCTTCTTCACTCAGATGACGATCTTTTTGATTCGGGAGTGAAGTGATAGATCCATGTTTCATCCATTGTCACATATCGACGCTAACATTCCGGTTTGTTATGTTTGAACATGACCAAACACTGCTCAGAATCATCAAGACGTTTTTGTTTTTTGGTTAACAGTGACCTCGCGCGCCACCCACTTTGAATAGAGCATTCTCATAGTCAAATGCTCATGCAATATAAACCTAACACGTTTCTTTTCACGTCTTCACAATATCAGATAACACACGCAACTTTACTTTTCGATCATTCAGAACGATTTTTATGTTTTCTGGTGTTACTGCCTCATTTGGACGTTCTACATCATCGCTATCTCTGTCGCAGCCAACTAGTTGAAATAGCCGTTCAATCAAATAGCTAGCCCTTCGATTGGCGCTTAGCCAACTGGTTAAATGGTAAATTAACCAGGGAGATTTGTAAAGCTACAAAAATGTCATTATTCTGGGTAAGGGTTGGTCAGGCCCATATCTATCATCTCTTTTTTTTCCAAAGTCGTTGAAACAATAATGAAAAAGCGTCTTTATGATTACTTCGAGAGCAACAACTCCTTTTCTAAAGGTCAATATGGGTTTCCTCAAAAATTGTTCTACTTCTCTAGCTGTCTTTGATGTCGTGGGATCTATTGTTGAAGGATTCGAGAAGGGTGTGCACACTGCCATGACACTTTTTGACTTGTCTGAGGCTTTTGATTGTGTATCACATAGTATATTTCTTAAAAAATTGTAATATTATGGAGTTAGAGGGGTATCTCTGTCACTCACAGAATCATACCTTTCAAATAGGTATTAGGCGGTTTCATGTGATGGTGTTACATCAAATATTGAGCACGTTGTTCCACAAAGTTCAATAATTGGGCCCCTGCTCTTTGTTATTTACGTTAATGAGATAAGAATGTAATTTCATGTCTCCCTATAAGGCCATTCTCTATGCAGATGATACAACTTCAATATATATCGATCAATCATCATCTAACATTCCAAAAGTAATGAAAGGAGTTGAAAATCAAGCCAACACTTGGTTTCTAGCAAATAAATTGAAGTTGAATAGTGACAAAACTCAAAATCTTGAGTTCACCACTATAGGTTCAGCTAACAAAAGTGTAAAATTACTTGGCATTACTCTCGACAGTACTTTATCTTGGCACCAACAAACAGATCTTCTCGAAAATAAACTATCCAGTACAATATATATCCTTCGTCAACTGCAAAACATCACAAGCAGTGAGATTCTAAAAATGACGTACTTTGCATTATTCCACTCACACATCAGTTACGGTGTTGTTCTTTGGGGGGACTCTCCTGGTTCGATGAGAATTTTCAAACTACAGAAAAAAACTATAAGAATACTGACAAGTGCAGGTTTCCTGGAGCACTGTAGACCATTATTCAAAAAATTACAAATCATGCCGTTGCCAACATAATATATTCATCAGACGCTACTGGAAATCAGAGAAAATGCTCATTTGCTAGAGAAACAATCTGACATACACCAACACTTCACGAGAAATGCAGACAAGGTTTGACCAGACCAAAAATGAATTCTGTAGATTAAAATCTTTTCAACTCTCTGCCAAATAACTTTAAAGAGCTGAGTATCACGAAATTCAAAATATCCATCAAGAAAATGCTACTCAGCCAATGTTTTTACTCAGTCTCGGAATACTACCATCATTTTAGGACAGTTCATATATGTACGTAGGTAACCCCTATGTTGCTGCTACGGATAGTGTTCCCAGATCTGAAGCAGGTCCTGATGTTATACTTGAACCCTTGGATCTTTCGTATCCTTTCCGATAATCCTCTGATGTAGGGAAGTACAAGTACTGGTTGTGGAGGCTTCTCTTCCTTGTGGAGCTCTTGCTGTCTTCTAGCTGAAGCCTGTTTTACCATCACTCTGGAGTAACCTTTCCGTTGAAGGTTGTTTTTGATGATGCCTAGTTTCCTTTCGAGATCTTCCTTTGTATTACAGAGCCCGAAGGCACGGTCTAGTAGAGTCTTGGTGATTCCTCTCTTGATCGATTTTGGACAACATATACATGGCTTCTTTGAATTTTATCTTAAACCAGTGTTCCTCTTTGTGGGCGATTTCAGCTTGAGCCCACTTGATATTATGTTGATGAGCCCAAACATGTACTGCTATTCCGGATTTGCTGGTTTCTCCTCGTTGTGTGTGTTTCTTGTGCGGTGATATTGAATTCAAAAAAACTTTGGTTCTTATGTGGATAGAGGAGTGGATAGTTTGAGTGATTTAAGTAGCATTCCATTTATGAGTTCATGCTGCTCTTCTCTAAGGGCGCTTGGGGATAAATTTGTGGCATTGAACGAAACAAATTCGGAATGAGGTGAAAGTTGAATACGAAATATAAATATAAAATTAGTTGATGAAACTCAGGTAATAACAGAAGGCGGTACGAACTCATCACTATGGATGACTTTCCTGGAAATTTGATATATTTTGCAAAGAATTAAATTTAAATCCAAAGTATACCCCACTGATATTCTTTTTTTCAACAAACTTGATCTAGTAACTCCCCATCCTACCTCCGTGATTTTCTGTGTTGTAAAGATAGCTATCTGCAAAACAAACCAGTGCCATTATTCAGAAATGCCGAATATGGCGAATTCATGGAAAACTCCGGTGACATCCGGGCCCCTCCATGGTCGACGACAATGAACCTAGGTGACCGGTTATACCGAGTGCGTCATCACCGAGGCTACGTGGATCGACACTACTTTTTTCTGTTCACTCTTCGCAGTCGAACGCCATGGAGGATGCTTGGAATAGCTTCTGCGATACCGGAGAAGATGCATAGCCTGCGTGTTTGGCTTATATTTCAGTCATACTATATGAAACTTTTTGTTTTTTACCACTTTCATTTGTAACTAACGTTACTGCAGTTTCGTCTTATACGGACATTTTCAAACGTATACAATAAACTCTGTATAAGTTTGAAAATGTCCGTATAGGAAGAAACTGCAGTAATGTTAGTTACAAATGAAAGTGGTAAAAAACATAGAAAGTTCAATGAAAAAGGATATATTCATGAGATAGCTAAAAAAACCATTTCCTCTGTGACTGCCATCTACTCACAGTTTCGAATAAACAAATAAAACAAGTTCCTATGTTCCATATTGATAGTCCATATACATCTCCCCTTTGAAGTTTTAGCGTGCAAAAATGATTTCAATGTGCATTTCAAGAGCTAAACAGCTTTTTTTCAACTACTGAAATGTATACTTTTTTATTTTCAGGTCCGGTGACAGTTCCCATGGTATCCACTAACGCTTCTCCGCCCATAGCAATGCCAGTTCAAGTTCCTCCAGGTCATGTTGTTCAACAAATAGTGGACGAGAATGGTACCTTGAGGCATGTAATCATTTCTCCACAACACCCGCCAAATCTCTTACCTCTACCGACTCATAACCAACAACCCTATGTAAGTATCGTTTTCCAATCATTTATTGTAGATATATCTTTATTGTTTTCACATCAACATGCTTCATCTGAACAAAAAAGCATTTTGTCCCTAATTGCACAGTTTTCCAATAATTCGGTTCATTTTCTGAAAAAAGTACCCATTCGGCAAGCTTTTCATATACTAGAAGGTACAAAAAACAATTTTTCTTCTTCAATTGCACAGTTTTTTCAAAATTCAAACGTTTATTCTTCCAAAAAAGTAGTCATAGAGCACATTTTTTACAAACTAAATAGAAAAGAAAGCATTGAATGATTTAAATGGTTATTTCATCAAAAAGAACCCATTCAGTAGAAGGTACAAAAACGTTTTTTCTCAAATTGCAAAGTATGTTACGAGTTAAACACTCATTCTGTACGTTTTTCAAATATTAGAACAGGAAGCATTATTTGCACAGCACGTTATCCACATACTAGAAAGAAAAAAAAAGCATATTGTTTCTGATTGCACAGTTTTTTTATAATCGAAAAGCATTAATTACACAGTTTTCTCATGATTTAAACATTTGTGGATTCAAAAATGAATCAATTTGGCAAGTTTTCACATACTGGAGAGTATTAAAAGCATTTTGTCTTTAACTGCAGAGTTTTTTTCATGATTCAATCGTTTATTATTCCAAAAAATACTTATTCGACACGTTTTTCACACACTAGAAGTTTATTCATTATTCAAAAGTTCATTTTTTTAAGAAGCATTTCGGTACGCTTTCCAGACACAAGAAGTTTCAATACACATTTTGTCCTCAATTGCACAGTTTTTTTATGATTTAAACATTTGTTATTTCAAAAAAGTACTCATTTTGCACGTTTTTCACATACTATAAGGAACAAAAAACATATTGTCGTTGATTTCACAACTTCTTTCAGATTTGAACGTTAATACATTCCAAAAAATACAAATTCGACAGACAAAAAAAAACAAACAGCAAGTTTAATTTCTTTTTTCTTTATTAAATCTATATTTTGTTGAATTGCACATTTTTTTATGAATAAAACGTTAATCAAAAAAAAAGTATTCATTCGGCACGTTTTTCATATAACAGAAGGAAAAAAAACCACTATACACAGTTTTTGACTGCTTTGAACCTTAATTTCTTGAAAAGTACTTTCATTTGTATTTCCCAAAAAAAGTAGGCTCCTGTTTTCTCAACAACGCAGAATCGTAGATCTTTGCAAGAATTGATTGCTGAGATTTTGCGTTTCAAAAAAATAGAAGCAGTCGGATTCCAAAAAGTAGACGCAATCAGCCGCAATCAACAAAAATAAGTGACCCAATTATAGTGCAAAAATAACATATTGAACCTCTAAACAAAAAATAATTAATAGGTCTCGTCAGAAAACGAAAACTGTGAACGATGATTGCATTTTCAAACGTCTTGTTCTCCATTTTTCAAATCTCGACCTACACGTTGATAATATACATGCCTTTGTTTATGGCGTTCATCCAGCAAGCCATACCTTCAATTATATCTGTAATCAAATCAACCCTACCCAATATTCTCTGAATTGGTTCGATGTTGATATCGAGAAAAACAAACGAGTCTGACTGTCCATCAAATTAGTATGTTATTTCGAAAGGATATAGTTCATTAATCCCATGTGTACACGTCTTCTTCAGAAGAACAGGACCGGAACGCCTGAAAAATGGTGCGAGAATCTAAAGAAGGCACAAAAAAATTAAAGAGAGGTTTATAATAGATTTTTCGTTTAGCTGTCGTCCTTCTCGATAGTGAATCTTGGGCGAGTCTAGAATTAACGAGGTCCTAGCTTTCAACATTCGATCCCTAGTACGTTGCACCGTGATCACTCATGGTCTCAGAGTTAGAATCGGGCCACCAACTGACCCAGAAAAAGTCGAAAGAACATCACCACAACGAACATTACTGTAGTTATTTCTACACCTCGACACGTGCTTCGATCACTATGTGATCATCTTCAAGAGGAAGATTAAACTCAACAACAGTTTGATCTTACTCTTGAAGATGATCACCTGGTGATCGAAACACGAGTCGACGTATTAAAAAAACGGTTTAGTTTTAGGAAAATCTCCGGTAATATTAATTACTACGCCAAAGGTTTCAAACAGTGCAACACAAGTATCACTATGATGATTGAGATTGAAAAAATGATAATTTCAGTTTGAGGCTCAAAAAAAGCACTATTGAGCTATTATGCTCACCACAAAACATCGAAGAAACTGACTCCTAATAATTCAATGGAATTTGAGAAAAGAAGAAGATCCTTGACTTTATATCTAATTTGACAGAAGTCTTCGTCACTGCTATGTGTCAAAGACTACTTATGTTCGTTTTTTCAAAAACCACACCACACGATTTGAACTCAACAAATTTTATTTTAAAAATATATGTTTCGCTAGCACAGTAGCTTTTTCAAGTGATTTGAATACTTCAAGTTGTTGAGAGTCCCTCCAGAAAATTACCTATACCTCTACATCACGAATCGCTTTTGCGTATACTTTCTTGGCAAGTATTTTGTTTATTAATTCGGCTTCAAACCCGCAATTTGTTTTATGATATTGAGTTCTTTATTGAAATCATCTATTGAAAGAGGAACATTAACAAATATGTGAATCATGCTATTATAAGCTGCTACTTTGTGTTTATAAGGATGGTTAGAATTGTAATGTATAGTAATATCCGTATAAGATGGTTTGTGATAAATTGAAAATTCGTGTTTGTTGTTCCTTCTACTAATTGTTAAGTCCAAGAAATTTAGTAAGTCGTCTGCTTCTATTTCAATAGTGAATTCAATGTATTCATGAATTTTGTTAATATCCCTAGGAAAAGTATCTAATTGCCTCTTAGTACCTGTAAAATATACCAAAACGTCATCCACATATCTATGCCAATACAAGAAATTCTTAATCAAAGGATGTTTGAAGATCGACTTCTAGATTATCCATGAAAATTTCTGCAAGTACTCATGTTCGATTTTAGGGCTTAACTGCAAACAAATATGTATCACAAGAGCCTGATATTTCAATTTGTATTTGTCAGTGATACTTTGATCTATACTGAAATACATTCATAGTTTGTTGAAGAATTTCACTTCAGAAAAAATCAAAACTGCAGGTTCTACAGGATCCTTTTCACCATTAGGTATTTCCAATGCAGACATTGCAATAGTTTATTAATTTTACTTGATACCTAGATTGTAGTCGTATCAACTTTGTATCAAAATGAGTCTATTATTTTTCCCCAAAAGTGTAGTGATGTGTTATATTTAGCTGTAAACACACTCAGTTTACTTGAAAATGGTTTATCAAAAGTTATTTTCTTAATCGTATATTCATGTTTGAAAAACCCTGAGACATCTGAAAATAACCATCCAGCAGATTTTGCTCTAAAGCTAGTGGTGTTCAACGCTAAATCAATTACTAATCAATCATCCTAGATGACGTCAGTAGTCAAAATTTGCTAATCTAAATCCCATCTCTCTGGCATCTGTTTTCGAACCGAGAGTAAACGATTTAATAAAGTAGCTCTTACAGTGAACATCAAAAAGTTCACACATCGTAAGTCAAGTAATCTGTATCGAATCTGTAACAATGTTCCTCCTGACGAAAATCAAGTAGTTTTCATGAAAGAGCTCTAAAACAACGCATTTTAAACTTATATGAAGAATACTATCATTTCTATGAAGGAGAATTATAAACACATCAGCATAAGCATGAAACCAAATTATTCGTGTTTAGCTGGCAACTTCCCTAACATATGTCGTCACAATATGAGTTGACTAACGGTCAATATAGAATACCATAGTGAAAAGTTATGCAATTTCTGGATAAAGAAGTCTTTCAAAATACCTCTCATTTGGTATTGATATATTCAACTGTTGATTCATACATTTACAACATGAAGATATTAGACACCGCAGAACACCCATCATTTCACACCTTCATGACTTGCTCAGTTATATATTCATGGTTTACATTCACAACGCGTGAATGAACTTTAATTGAAGTTTTAGTTGACTTAACATATTTCCTGACAAACCGAAAAATGACAAATGACAATTTTATTATCGAGAGAAACCTATTTCAACATTCAGTGTCACTATTTTCAGGTATGAAGATCGTCGGTTTTTGAAATTTTTCCTGACGTTTGGCTGGCACGAGTGGCATTTTTAGATGTTTATACATCCTGAGTTGTCTGCGATGACTGGATATCAAAACTGCGTAAAGCGTGTATATGTTGAGATAATGTCAACATAATGAGTCAACATAAATACGCTTTACGCAGCCGTAATATCCAGTCATCGGAGGTAAACTCAAGATGAACCTCTGAAGAAGCTAGCCACCCGCTTCAGCGAAACGTCAGGAAGAAATTCCAAAAATCGACACCCTTCAAACCCGAAAAAAGTGACACTGAAAACCTCGACCGCGAAAGCCTCAACCATTTTCATTTCATCATTTTCAAAGAAGAAAACGTGATACAAGCTGGCTAAAATTCGATTTCTCGGATCTCCAACATTTCCGACAGGAGTGGAGCAAACTCCGTTACAGAAACTCAGAGGATTTAAATCGAGCGATCGAGCAGGTCAACGTTCCGTACCTCCCCTACCCTATCCAAATCTTTGGATAGACTGTATCTAAGTATTTACGTACTTACATGCTGAAATGAAATCAGAGGTGTTTCCTCAACTGTAGAGTAATTTCTTCAAGAAGAGCAGGTACCTCTTCTTGTGGAAAATAAGGGTAAGAATCGCCTTCAAGCCGTTGTGGAAGAAAATATGGACCAGTTAAATGATCATCAAGAACTCCAAGCCATACATTTACTGAAAAATGATGCTGAAAATGAGCTTCAAAAATTCCGTGTGGATTTTATTTAGCTCAGAGGCGATTCTCATGGAAATTTCGTTTACAGTGTTGCCCAAAATCAGCCTTGTTATTATTAAGGAAAACGCCGTTTGGAAAATTAGAAATTTCAACGTTTTGGTGAA